AACAAAAGAATAATGCAATTTACTAGGCCAATATAGAAGATGAAATTTGCTTATACTTACATGGTTTTGATAGGAGATGCATATGAGTGCATGGACACAATGTTGGGCGAAATTGCAGTAGCCCTTTATGATGATTCTATTTTGTACTAAAAGATGTATAAGTTTGTTGTTGATAGATGAGATCAAACCAATCTTTTATTACATTATTTGGCATCTGTTGTAAGTCCTAAATATCACTCTTATAATGCTTTATTATGCCAACTCCTGGTGGAGGGAAGAGGCTAAAGCGACACCATGATAAAGAAGTATCAGTGTCATATCTTGTTGTGCTTGAGAGGTTGTATCCAGACAAGAATGAGAGGACAAGAATATGACATCATATCAGCGATTTTGTAAGTAATAAAAGAATCTTCTCACTCCCAACATCCATTTCCGACATAGGAACAATGTCAAATGTTTCGTGCTTTATATGGTGATAGGGTTCCTGAATTATATTCAATGGCTATTAAGGTGTTGTCTCAGATGTTAACTCATCATATACTGAGAGGTTCTGGAACAACATCCACAGTGTTAAGCGAAACTGATTAAATGCTCAACGCTCTGAGTCATTGATTTATGTGCATTATAATGACAAGTTGTTAAGTAGATTGCGATCAGACTATGCAGAGAAGTACAAAGGATGAGATTTTCATCCTGATGATGACCACCTCGAGGATGATATTGGAGCATTAGAAGCATTAAGTGACCACCTTGGTGCTGATGATGAGGCCCATTGGAGTGCTATGTTACCAAAACTTGTACCTCCCACTATATCTTCAGGTCATGACATAAGTTTGGCATGTACTTTTCCCTCTGAATCCCTTGCAACCCACAATCCTACTACTCAAGGGTCATCTTCTTCGAATGTAGTATCCTCTACATCCATTTTTCCTCAAAAGCTGGTTCTCTGAAGGGGAAAGAGTATTCATCATCGTGAGTTAGAATTCTATATTTCTCACAAGGCTTATACAATAGGACTTAACTTTAAATAAAATATATATTAATATGACTTAATAAAACAATGGGTCACTCTAAATTATGCCCAGTTCAAATTAAAAATCTAATAAAACAATGGGTCACTCAAGACTATACTTAGTTCAAATTAAGAACAACGAGAACTGGTATCATCTGCTACTGAGAGTACAGCCCACAAATATGGAACCTAAGATTTTAATGTATTAAAACCTTTGACCATGGTTGATGGGAGCTATGATCTATTCTCAATTGGAACTAAATTCATCGGTTTTTGAAAGTAGATTTCACATATATGGAACCTAAGATTATAATTTACCAAAACCTTGGACCATGGTTGTTTGGAGTGGGGACCTATTTTGAAATAGTACAAGAATCCACTAATGGTTGGAAAATGATCCCCTTTATTTTAGAAACGAGATCCCAAAATTGAAAAATCGGGATCTCTGCAAGATTCCTATGAGGAAGAACCGTGGGATCGAGGTTCTGGAGTGGGAATGCCACCCTACCTCCATGGTTCTCTTAACTATGGTTTAGAGAATGCTCTCCATCCATAGCAATAAAATCATTTGTTCAGGGTACAAGAAGATCATAGAGCAATGGTCCTAAGGATATTTAACAAATAGATGAGTACAAGGCTTCAATCTCTCTGCGAGTAAAATTTTGAGTATACATGCACCGTCTTAATGTCAAGATGATTAATTGAGTAAATATCGCCATCAAACAACCTCTTTTAGTGAAAAATTTGCAGTGGGCTCTACTTTGATTGCTTAGAGCCTCGGTTCTATATAAAGTTTTTGCATCTTAGAAAGTAAAACATGTTTTGAATTCAAAGACCTTAACAAAGCACTAACATTATTTGGCTTGGCTACTTAGGTGGTACCAAAATTTCATAATGTCCAAGCCCCGTTTAAGTAGTCATTCTTGACTAATAAATATTCAGGCATTGTTAATAAATTTTATATTAGATATATTAGTGAAATGAAGTAACAATCGTATTTAAATTTTGAACCCCTAAGTGATTTTCTAAGACAATTTAGTTTTTGATCATCTAAGTCCTATTTTGGCTTTATTTCTTTGAGATTGGAAATTATAAAACAATGAGTCGCAATAGTTCTTTACCATTAGGTATGAAAATATAATGTATTAAAAGTGTGTTAAGACGTTTGAGAAATTCCATTTGGACTTTGGACCTAATTAATGGCACAACTTGAATCGTCCAATTTCATGTCTGACAATCAATAATAATGGTAGTCTCTTTATTTCAAAAGTAAATAAAAAAAAAAATTCAAAGAGACCATTTATTTTTACTACAAGGAGGTCACAAGCTTTCTTGTCCTTCAATAAGACATGGGTGCAGTTTGCATATGGATCATCTGTAGGTGTAGAGGTAAGGCGCACCTTCAAATTTTATCATGGTATATAATTTGATGTAAAATATTCTTAGGTTTATCTCAAAATCTATTTTTATATCTAATTAATTTTAAATTTAAAAAATGGTTAAAATCAAGTAGATCTATAAACATATGAAAATCTTGAAAATGGACAATGTAGATAACATGTTGTAAAATGTAGTATTCCTGAGACTTAAAATCTTTTTATTTTTCATAGTCATACATCTCGATGTCGAGATGATCAATCAAAGGTCAACATTAAAACTACCATTTCTGATGAATTTTTTAGGTTCATCCGTAGTTCTACATTATAAGGTAATATCCTCATATAAACTTTTTCCATAACACATTTAGGTGGTTATAAGTCTGTTATTGACCAGACTCAAAGTTTCGAAAAAGGAAAAAAATTAACCCTTATGACGCATCCTAAGCCATCCAGTTTGACATCTAGTGATTAGAAATAATTGTGACCTTATTGTACAAAGACAAATTGTTGTGTAATATACAATCCTAATAAGTAAAGGGCAAGCTAACTATGCTTCCCCTACAGAATAAAACTTATATACTTCCCCTTATCCAACCGTCCATTTTGAATGGAGGATTAAGATTGCCCTAATCACAATGTCAGGTCTCTACACTATTTTATTTTTAATTTTTTCTACAAACTATTTTGACACCAAAATTTGGACGTCCAACCCTCTATTAAACTCGCACTAGAGAAAAATATAAAAATAATATTTCCAATAAAATAAAATAACCAAAATACCCCTGAAAGATTCAAGGGGTATTTTGGAAATTATATTTTACCAAAAAATTATTTTAAATATTTTTTTATAGGTGCGCCTCAATGAGAAGATGACAGGTGCCAAATTTAATATTTATACAATTTTTTTAAAAAATTAAAAATAAAATACTTTGAGACGTCGGATCTAAGATCAAACGGTGAATGGCTTTTTTGATCAAAATTGAATGGATAGATGGTAGGGGAAGCGTAGATCTTCTATGCTGTAGGGGAAGTATATAAACCTTTCCCATAAGTAAATGGTCTTATGGTATGCATTTCTTATTTTTATATTCATATATAATTTTTGTTAAATCCATTTTTTTTGGTATACTTTGATTATGAATTCCCTCATAAAATACAATGACAATACATATATATATATATATATATATATATCATGTGGATGATGTCACATCCATCCTAAAAACCAAAAAAACCCTCACTAAAAAAATACTCCAAATATCAAACAAAGATATAAATATATATATATATATATGTATAGAAAAAAACTTGGATATGCCCATTTGTGTATAAGAAATAGGAATGTCCAACCATTCATCCTATTTGAACGGTGATGCCTACATCTTTTAGGCCATTTCACTTAACAGAGGACGTGACATTCGCAGGTCTCTCTCGCAGGCCTACTTCTTGTTTTCCCCTCTCTCTCTTTCAGCTGATCATCTCTCTCTTAGCTGATTTCTACTTGCAACCGTGCTTCTCTATCATTAGAGCATTTCAATTTCTCTATCTTTCTCAGTTGATTTCTACTTGCAATCACGTCTCTCTCTCATCATAGCATTTTGATTTATCTCTCTTAGTTGATTTCTACTTGCAGCCGTGCCTCTCTCACATCATAGCATTTCGATTTCTTTCTCTCAGCTGATTTCTATTTGTAGTCGTGCCTCTCTCTCAGATGGTTTCAAATGGATGAGAGAGAAGCACAACTGCAAATAGAAATCAACTGAGTGAGAGAGAAATTGAAATGCTCTAATGAGAGAGAGGCACGGCTGCAGTTAGCAATCAGTTGAGAGAAAGAGAAATCGAAATGCTCTGATGAGAAAGAGGCACGGCTGCAAGTAGAAATCAACTGAGAGAAAGGGAATTAGCTAGGCGAGAGGGGAAAATAGGAAGTAGGCTTGCGAGAGAGGCCTGCGAATGTCAAGTCCTCTGTCAGGTGAGATGGCCTAAAAGATGTAGGTATCACCATTCAAACAAGATGAACAAATATGAACCGTTGGGCTCTCCCATTTCTCATACATGAATGGGCGTATCCAAGATTTTTCCATATATATCCATAGGAAAAGTCTTCCTACCACCTATAGGCGAAAATGAACAGTGATTTCACCTACTCTCATCACCGTCGAGTTACAAGCCGTAAAATTAAATTTTTAAAATTTTAGTTTTTAGAAAAATCAAAAATTAAAAAAAAATGGTTTTTCAATAAGTGGTTTCCTTTACAACCTTAAAATGTAGAACTATGAATGCACCTCATAAATCCATCAAAAAAAGTTATTTTAATTTTGAAAACCATGTGATTTGATCATCTCGACATCGAGATGTATGACTATGAAAAATAAAAAGATTTTCTGTCTAAAAAATAGTACATCTTATAACATATTATATATATATATCATCCATTTTCAAGATTTTCATATGTTTATAGATCAACTTATTTTAACTATTTTTAAAATTTAAAATTTTATAATTAATATAAAAATAAATTTTGAAATAAACCTAAAAACATTATACATCAAAATTATATATTCCGACAAAATTTGAAGTCGCACCTTAGTTGGATTGTTTAAGATTGCAACCTTAGGAACCACACCCTTCTTCTTTTCTTCCTTTTCTTTTTTTAGTGTTCTGAAGTTGAAAGAATGGACATTTAGGAAGTAACAAGCCCTAAATATTTGTCACCCTCCTCTGCTTCGTATTGGAGTGAGAGCGAGAGAGATGCTCACGTCCTGGTAAGCCCTTGGCACGCAGGCAAAAGCTAGGCCTGAGCGCCATTACAGAGCTAGGAGGACGTCTACCAATGGCAGCACCGCTCCGAGGTACACTCTTACTTCTCATAATAATGCTTGGCTCTTCTTGTATAATGGCTTCGTCATGTCAATACTGTCACCGTCTCTCAGTTGCTCTGCATTGTTTATTTCCCGTTTCGTACCTACTAGTTTGGATGAGGGCTTTTGCCACAACATATGTGGATTTAGGTCCTATTGAGGATTGATAGTTGTGTTTTTGGTTGTAATCATGCTTTTTATGAACAACCATATTACTTTATCTCAATGTTTCTGCACTTCATGTTCTTGTTTCATGCCTGGTATGGAAATATGTTGTATTGTTAGAATGGAGGGTTTCGTGCCTGTTATGGAAATATGTTGTATTGCTAGAATGGAGGGAGAGGAGGGCTTCTCAGACTTGTCGTCTGGCGTCTTTCTTGACTATGAAGAGAAGATAACACAGCGGTGTAATTGCAACGAGTCATGGAGAATCTAAGTTAACAACTCAAGCAGAATCCAAATCAAGCCATGGTGAGAGTATGAGAGGAGGCTCACGAGTGCAGATTGGCAGGATTGACAAAGTATTTATTTTTTAAATTGACAAATTAAATTAGTGGTTGGAGTGATGGAGCATTAATCGTAAATCACACGTCAACCTGAAACCATCACAACTTTCGATAGTTAATTATGAAGAAGACACCGTGTATACCATGTGCATTCGTCCTTTTGAGCACAAACCATAAATCAATGTTATGATCGATATTATGGGATTTCTCTGCAAATTCCACAGTAATTGTTTTACTAGATGGTTGATTGAAGTGGAGACACTGCATAATTGATTGCTGGTCTGACCAACTTCTAAAGGGATTTTGATGTTTGTGAGGAACGCAACATGCTCGAGGTAGAGCTTTTCTCTACTGCCAGAAAATGATGTACTTTGGTTTAATTTTTGTTTTTTTAGAGTTTGAAATTACGGTAGAATTGGTTGTCTTTTTATTTATATAGATTTTAGGGGAATTTGCATCTTTTGTTTGTAGATATTCTAGGGCATCTCTGTCATGGCTACTTCTTGGCAAGATGAAGGGATAGGATTTAATGGTGATTAGGCTTCTTGGTGGATCGTTCCTACAAATATATGAATTGTGCTTTGTAATACATACAAATTTAAAGTGTTCAGCTTGAGGTATATTGTTATTATGGTTGGTTGGTGGGAAGAGTGATCTTTGGGGTGTCCTCAATGTCTACTAATTTACTGAATTTATCTTGTGTTTGCGTTACCTTTTTTTGCCAGCATATAGCCAAATTATGAGATTATTTGAGAGTGATAATGGGAAGAGTTGATCCTTAAGGGGACTTTGCATTTTTAATTTTCTTTGAAGAATCTACGAGAATTTAAAAAAATAAAAAATCCTGTGGAGAAGAAAGGAAGCATAAGACTGTGTGTGAATATATGTATCTATACGCTGCATACTCAAATCTAAGCCTACATGGCCCATTTTCTTTTATTTTTTGGGACACATGAACTTATGGGTCTTCATTTGGCAAGACAATGCTCAGTTGGTAAAAACAAAATGAAAAAATAGAGCTTGTGATGGCTTGTTTAAGATAGTTTCCTGGTCTATCGAAACCCACTTCAGACCACATCCTAGTACTCCTTGATGTCAGGAGAAATAGGAAAAATCTGCTTTTTTATTTTCAAAATATGTGGTCTGCACAGTGGTTAAACGAAGAATTATAATATATTAGATTTGAGGATAGAAGATTGAACAGGAATAAACTTCGATGTTTCTAGCACAAATTCTAGGAAGGTTTGAATTTTGGATTCATTATTGGATGAAAAGGATGATGCTTCCTCCCTCTTGACGCAGAAATGTTGAAATAGTCTTGTCAAATGAAAGACAAAGAGGATATAGTGGAATAGGAAGGGAACAGTTGGCTATGACAGTATTGCTTGAGGAGAAAATTCACCATATTCTTCCATGAGATTGCAAATGGCAATGGGATGATCAACTACATGGAGGAGGCTGAGTTCTCGATGGATAGTTGGCTATTCCCAGGATTTAAAGGGCAGAATTGAGTCAAAGTGATTAAAATAAATGTACCAGGTGTGTCAAGTGAGGTGAGACACTCAGTTGCCTGTGTTTGTTAGTGGACAACCTATTCAATTGTCTTTGATAGCAGAAGTTATGAGTGTTTGTTCTGTCTGATCGGATGGACCCAACATGTGGTAACATGTTAATGGATATGGTTAGCATCTGTCTGGCCTTACCCACTCTAAGATATACTTTTGTGAAAATTAGTACCTATCATATGCATGCAGCAGCACTAGAGAAAGAAATTTGCATATGAAGTCTGATGTGGACTGAGATGGGCTAATTTATGCAAGCTTGATTGGTCATTGGATGGCTCAATTGTGGAACACCCAGGGAAGAATGGAGGCACGCCAAGTGTGTGAGGGCAGGTAGCAAGGAATAGGGGTTAGCTTGACTGAGGTGCTTCATCATTAACTGGTGTAACCATAGTCTTCTTCCTTGGTGTTTATGATCCATCTGCTATATCTATGCCTTTTGCATGGTGAGACGACGGCCAAAGTGGACAAGACAGGTAAACCTGCTACAATATGTGGTATATACCTTATAGTGACACAATTACTTGGTATGCGCTTGATATCTTTCCTTGTCTTACAAAACTTGTGTAGTGCCAGCTTGGTTGTGGCTGCTAGATGTCCTCGAGGGGTACTCCTAGACTTGATCCTTAATATGAATGGGCTTTGATATGACTCGATCCTTAATATGACTCAAGCGCATTTTTCTAGTGGAAAAATGTGATTTTATGAGCCGGATTTGTTGGTTTATTTGTTTGGATTGCGTATATTAATTGAGAAATGGAACATCAAAAAGGACTTACTTGGAAATTATCTTGTGAAAAAACAAAAAATTTAAATTTATTCTTTAGCCTTATTCAAGACAAATTAGTTATCTTGTCCATTCTATCAATCTTGATTAAATTGAAGTCGAACTATGAAAACTATCTGTTTTGATTATGTGAGTATTATTTATAGCGATCTACTGCAGGTTTCATGTAGGATCCATTACAATACATTGTCACGTGACTTTTTACAAATGATGTTCATGCTATTTCGCATGGATTCTTTGTCCTAGGCATTGTACCCATGTCGGATGCAGCTGGTCATAGGTAAAGGTAAAGGTACAGGTACGGCATGGACATGAGTGGATTCTGCATTCTGAAGAGTCCTTACAAATGTGGAATCTGACATGTCTGAATTATTTTCAGAATGTGGTGGATTCTTCTCCTAAAATAATCCTGGATGTTTTAGACTTCTATTTATTTTAATATTAAGTATTTTATTTAAACTCTAGACATAGGGAAGCGATGTGCATCTCATTAATAAACACTATTATTGCCTACTTGTACCATAGTCTAATTCTTGTCCCTCACTATGACTTTGGTTGATCCTTGGTTTCCCTGTTGGTTCTTGTATGAATATTACGTGCATCGGATTCTTGCACTGTTCTGTGCAGCGGCACGTGTTGCAATTCCCAGCATTTTGGTTCTTAATTAATCATACTCATCCTCTTGCATACACACACAGTGTGCACACACACACACACATGTGTATGTGTGTCTATATATATTGGTATGTATACACACATATACATACACACAGACATACATATGTGTGTGTATAAATATGTGTGTGTATACATGCAGTGTGTGTGTGCATGCACACGCATGCGTGTATCCATGTGTGTGTGGCGATGTCACTGAATCCTATTTTTTGAGGCTCAAAAGAATCTAAAATCTGTATCCATTCCATGTCTAACATTGACACCCGTACCCATACAACATAGTGATCATGCTTTTCATGTGGCTTCATATTGTAAGTAATAAAAAATCTAAAATTTGAAATACCTTTCAGTCACAATCTTCCTGGCCTATCAATTGTTTGTATAGATTTATCTTTCCAATTTGCAATGAAAGAAAATGTCTGTTCTTTGAATACCTGGTTGATTTCTTTCTAGGATAATTAAATCTACTGTTGGGATGATCATTTTGATTTGACAACTCTCCTATCATTTTGCAGCTTGATAGGGTTTTACAATGGAGATGGCCTCAGTGGAAACGACCGCTTCTTTTCCTTTCAGTGGTGAAGATCATATTGAAAATGCAGGTTTTGCAGTTTCCAATCATAGGTATAAGTCCTTCCTGCATAGTTTCTTTATGTACTTGACATATTTTCTTCTCATCCAGTGTATCGTGGTTGTCCTACTCCTTTTATACTCTAAATCTTTCTTCTTCTCAAGTGTAATCTTCATTTCAAGTTCAAATTAACCTTACTTTGAAGGTTTGGAATATGTTGAAGTAATTAGAACTCTACTCTTGATGAATAATAACCTAGTGCATTATTGGCACACAGGTTATCACAGTGAGTAGTTTACCTAAGTTTCTAAATTTTTTTTAATGCTTTTGTTGTAGGCCATTTGTGGTCATTTGGACGCATGCAGTATTTAGTTATTATTCACTTAACTACTGGTATACATTATGCTAAAGACTGCAAATTCTCATATGGTTGACTTTTCTTATGATATCGGGGAACCTTTTACTGTTAGGCCTAGTATTTGTCATGCGTTGTTTCTTGATCTAATACCACTTATCTTTTCAGTTCTTTTCCCTACAAATAGAAGCCAGATGGCTCATTACTTTCTGTACTCCATATATCTCTGTTTCAAAATCAAGTGGAGATGATTCTCCATGTTACCAATAAAAAAAGCGATTCTCCTTAGTCTCTCTTATTCCCTGCTATTTTTATTTGATGAGTCTTGGAATCTAATAAAGTTACAGTTGGTCGTTTACTTTGAGCCTGCCCATATACTCTATTCAGTTTTCCTGCCACATGTTTCCTAAAAGACTTGCATGGTTTCCAAATTTATGATTTTTCCATTAGAATAGAAAAGGCAACTGCAAGAAACTGACACTTTCTACTGCGACTCTTGTATGATCCAAAAAGATCCTGCAGACCCATACCTTACCAAGAGAGACCAATTAATGGTATTCACGATGAACACCTAGAATTTTCTAAAATAGGTAAACACATTTCCATAAAGGTTATAAGAAGACTTTTGTAAAGGATCCAAGGGAAAGCGGGTTTGGAGTTTGGGAAAATTGAGAAAATGAGAAGGCTACAAGAAAGTACATTGGAATACTGAGAAAGTAGAGAAGGGTAACCGGACTCGTGAGCTTTGTGAGTGGCAACAAATAGCTGATAATTGTGGAACACTTTGCAAGTTGGAAGACCTTTACATGCTACTTTGGGAAAGCTGATGAGTTGAAGGGTCTAATTATCAATAGATTAAATATGCAAGGATATATAGAAATTGTGTTTCTCCTTGGGATGAAAATTTTAGTGGTAGCAATCCTGATGAAGTATAATAGGAGGAATACTGATAATGTACATCCAAAAAATATTGCATTGTAAGCAGTGCTCTTGGATGGTGGGTGTGCGGACCTCCTATTGCTTAGGTTGAGTGTATCGGAATGATGATAATATCGGGCTATGTTACTTTTTGGGTCCATTGACTTTTAGATTTCCAAGGAACAAGTTATGAGAAAACCTTCCAAGGAGAAGTATATTAAAATAATTGTGTCTTGCTAAGGATTTGGATTTTTCTTCTGTTGGAGCAAAGTATACTTGGTCTAGCAGAAAGAAATCCTCAATTATATGTACACTCGATTAATATATTTCAAATTGTTGGTTTTGAAACATCCTGTAGTATTGTATAAATAGGTATCCATACATAATCTAATCATTATTTCCATGTCTTGAAATAATACAGCTAGGGTTTCTAGGCTTTTTGGATTTAGTGAAAAATTGGTGGTCTTCTTTGGCAGCTTCAAGCGTAGCAGGAGGGGGGGGGGGAGGGGGGTGAAGAAAAGGAAAGAAAATCTTTCACAGCTTCATGGTTGTCTTGCGTTATTTCTCCAAAAAGCTTAGATAAGTGGAGCAAGCTGTTCTTTGAGCCAAGCAGGTGTTTGGTGACATTGGGTACTGAATTGCAGTCATAAGAAGGGAAAATGCAACGACATGTAGATTGTAGTCGTTGGGGGTGTGCGACAAGAAGGGTAGAAGAGAGAGAGC